ATAGTAATTCGGATGAAGAAAAACCCGGGCGACACTTCTCTCGGTATAGTTCTCAAGCGAATGATTATATGATGAGTCGAGGCTATGACCTTTCACTTGGTGAAGGCCTTTATTTTGGTCAAGGTATTAGGGTTCCACCCCGTTCTACCTATGTACCAAAAGGAAAACCAGATAATTACTACAGTCGTAATAGAGGTCTGGGTTATGATTCATCCGAAGACGATTATGGCCAACAGATTATTAACCAATTAATAGACAGGAGTGGACATTCATCCGATACTTCAAATTGGGATTCTGACGTGAGCATTGGTGAAAGATTCAAATCCCTAATGTCGAACATGGCGACGGTTGACCCTTCCACAACAGAAGAAGACGATCAGTTACCTGTTTGGGAAGATCCATGGATGCATTACATGAATATCCAATACGGTGATCGATTTGAGCAAAGAGAACCTCCTACCGAGGATAAAGTGGTTCAAGTTAATATGGGTGACGAAAATAATCCGAAGCCTATATTTATCAGCGGTGATCTCCCGCCAGACGAAAAAGAGGAATTAATTGCCCTCGTTAAAGAGTATATCGACGTTTTCGCATGGAACTACGAAGATATGCCAGGACTCGACCCAAATGTAGCAATGCATACCCTTAACATAAAATCGGATGCTAAACCTGTCAAGCAACAACAAAGACGGTTTCGTCCGCAAATTATGGAGGCAATAGAAGCTGAAGTTAAGAAGCTAATTGACTCGGGTTTTGTCAGAGAGGAACAACATCCTGAATGGTTGGCCAATATCGTTCCAGTCCTCAAAAAGAACGGAAAAATCAGAATCTGTATTGACTTCAGAGATCTGAATACAGCATGCCCCAAGGATGATTTTCCCCTACCGATTACGGACGTCATTATCGACAACACATGCGGGTTTGAAAGAATGTCGTTCATGGATGGATTTTCTGGGTATAATCAAATCAAGATGCATCCGGATGATGAAAAGCATACAGCTTTCAGAACACCTCTTGGCGTCTTTTGTTATACCGTTATGCCTTTCGGTTTGAAGAACGCCGGTGCTACGTATCAACGGGCGATGACGAAGATCTTTCAAGAACACCTTAGGAAGACAGTCGAATGCTACGTTGATGACCTAGTCGTTAAGAGTCGTGATAAAAACGACCACATTAACGATCTGAAGACAATGTTCGAACTTATGAGAACTCATCAGTTAAAGATGAACCCGACTAAATCCTTCCTTGGAATGTCGAGCGGTAAATTTCTTGGGTTCGTCGTCACCACAAAAGGTATTCATATTGATCCTGATAAGGTGAAGGCGATAAACGAACTGCAGCCTCCAAGAAATCTTAAAGAACTCAGAGGATTGCAAGGTCGATTAGCATATATCCGTCGGTTTATATCGAACTTGTCCGGAAAATGTCAACCGTTTTCCAAACTCGCAAAGAAAGGCGTGTCGTTCATTTGGGATGAAGCATGTCAGAAGGCATTCGAAGATATCAAGAAATATCTAGCGAATCCACCTATTCTCGTTGCACCGAAATCGGGCAAGCCGTTTTTGATTTATGTCAAAGCGACGAGCCATTCGTTAAGTGCCTTACTTGCACAAGACGACGATAACGGTCACGAGCAAGCTGTGTATTATCTGAGTCGTACATTGGTAGGAGCTGAGTCTCGTTATCCGATGATTGAGAAGGAATGCCTCGCTTTGGTATTCGCGATTCAGAAAATGCGACATTATTTAGTCGGACAGACGATTTATGTCATTTCCAACATAAATCCCGTCCGAGTGTTCATGACCCAACCGGCTTCCATGAATTGGCGTTTGGCCAGATGGGCTTTACTCTTATCGCAATATGACTTGTACTTCAAACAGCAGAAATCTGTTAAAGGACGAGCTATTTGCGACCTTCTGGCAGAAAACCCTACGAAGGATGTAGTCGAATTGTACGACGACCTGCCAGATGAAACTCACGAAGTTAATACCACCTCACATCAACAAGTGTGGCAATTGTACTTCGATGGGGCTTCCCGATCAACCAACGTGGCAAGTGCACCCGGATGTTCTAAAATCTCCTCAGGAGTGGGGGTCGTTTTAGTTTCCCCGGAAAAGCACGTCTTGCCTAGAGCATATTCACTGACTGAACCATGCTCTAATAACGTAGCTGAATACAATGCATTAATAATCGGACTTAATTTCGCCAAAGAGCTGGGGGTCGAATACCTTGAAGCTTTTGGAGATTCTCAACTGGTGGTTAATCAAATACGAGGAGAGTATGAAGTCAGAAATCGAGACCTGATTCCATACCACCAGGTGGCCATCGAAATAGCAAGCTCGTTTGAAGAATTTTTCATCGAGTACGTTCCGCGTCTCCAAAATACATACGCGGATGCATTGGCAGCATTGTCAGTATCCTTGGCTCAACCTCCCGAAACAGAGCAATTAATTACAGTGAGGACTCATCAGCTTATTGTTCCAATCTACGATTCGAATGCTAAAGAGGTATACTCAACTGGAGTTGAACCCGAAGTTCGAGATTGGCGTTTTCCTATTATTGACTACGTCTTACATGGTATATTACCTGAAGATGTAAGAGAAAGGGAATCGATTCGGCGAAGAGCGCCGAGATTTTATTACAATGCCACATCGCAAACGTTGTATCGACGAGCTTATGATGGTCTTTTACTTCGTTGTCTATCCAGTAAAGAAGCGGAACAAGCACTCAAAGAGGCACATAATGGGATATGCGGTGCACATCAGCCCGGTCCTAAACTCTGCGACCGACTTAGGAGAATCGGATATTATTGGCCAACTATGGTGAAAGACGCAGTCGATTACGCACGACAATGTGTAGTGTGTCAATTGCATGCAAATTATATGCACATACCCCCTGAATATCTGCATCCTTCGGCGACATCGTGGCCGTTTGAAACTTGGGGAATGGATATAGTAGGTCCTATTTTTCCACCTTCGGTTAAAGGGGACCGTTTCATTCTGGCAATCACCGATTATTTCTCGAAATGGGCAGAAGCAGTTCCACTTAGAGAAGTAAAGACAACCGATGTTATCAAATTCATCAAACACCATATCATATATCGGTATGGTGTGCCAAGGCGAATAGTGCACGACAACGGTCCTCAGTTCGTGAGCAACGCATTCATCAAGTTCTGCGGTAAATTCGGGATTAAAGACGTTTCGTCGACTGCTTATAATCCTACAGCTAACGGATTGGCCGGAGCTTTTAACAAGACTATCATCAAAATTCTGGCAAAATTGGTGAAAACCAATAAGCGAGATTGGGATGACAAACTCGGCGAAGCTCTCTGGGCTTATCGTACAACCGTCCGCACGCCTACCGGAGCCACCCCGTATGCTTTAACGTATGGGTGTGAGGCCGTCCTTCCATTGGAGATACAGATTCCTTCCCTCCGTATCGCTCTTACAACGGGAATGACGACGGAAGAACATCATCAGAAACGTCTCGAGGAATTAGAGATGTTAGATGAGAAACGCTTGGAAGCTCAACAACAAATCGAGTTTTATCAAGCTAGAATTTCTCGGGCTTTCGATAAAAAGGTCCGACGACGAAGCTTTAAAGAAGGAGATCTAGTGCTCGCTGTTCGAAGGCCTATGATTCTCACTTCTAAGAAGAAAGGCAAATTCGAACCTAAATGGGAAGGACCGTTCGTGATAGAAAGATGGCAACAAATTGATGATGCCAATAAATGGGAAGTTCCTGAAAAAGTATTATCCGTAATACGTTCAGGATAACTTATGTAAAACGGGAAGTTCCTAGAGAATCCTGTATAGGATATTTCAGGATAACCCGATATCAGTTGATTGTTTTAAATGAAGACTGATCATGTGAAAAATTTATTCTTAATTGTTATAAAAATAATTAAGATCCTCATATTACTTTTGTTGAGATGAGATTTAATCACAATTAATCTTTCCTCACAAAACCCCTCACCGATCAAATCGATCGACGAAGGGTACACCAAAATCCGTCATGGATTAAAGTAATTTAAACTCCCACATTTTATTTGGTCAAACCTTAAATAGTTAAGACCACAACCAAAATCCCCTCTCGATTCCTTCAATGAACGAGAGGCCCACAAATTAAGCGATCAAACCTTCCTACAGTTAGGATCGTCTCAAAACCCCCACTTGGTCAAACCTTACTACAGTTAGGACCACAGCTAAAATCTCCTTTCCGATTCGTTTTGCGAACGAAAGGTCCATTTTTGAATTGAGTAATCAAACCTTATGACAGTTAGGATTATTCAAACCAATCCAGATTCTCTAAGTGGAGATTCCACTTTGAGTTTCCTTTTCACTAGGAGATAGAATATAAAATTCTTCCTCTCAGATTCTGGGTTTATCTCTACCAACAAACAAGAGATCAGGAGATAGAATATAAAATTCTCCCTCTCCGATTCTGGGTTTATCTCTACCAACAAACAAGAGACCAGGAGATAGAATATAAAATTCTTCCTCTCCGATTCTGGGTTTATCTCTACCAACAAACAAGAGATTGAGAAATGGAATATATATAATTCTGTTTCTCTCCAATTTCGGGTTCATTTTCCTGTATAGGAAATATAACTTACTCTCATTCCAAAATCCATGTTGTTCACACATGGGGGAAGTTATCTCTATCCCTTATTAGAGATAAGCCTACATCTAACACATGTAGCCTACATATTCAATATGATAGTTCAAAGTCTAAAAGAGTTTAATTCTTTTAGCGCAACATTATATGTGAAACGGACTTAGATAATTCACATACTAGCCCGATTCAAACGGTAATCGGTAAAGGCACATCAAATCCGTTGATGGCTGAGGATTTGCCAAAAATTCTATAAGTATTATGATTATTTATTCTTAACAAGAACGAGTAATCATAATAAAATCTCAATAATCAACAGAGTTCACTATATTAACCAAAAGAGTTTAAACAAAACAGCATAAAAAAATAAATGTATGTTCTCAAAATTACAATAATTTGTAATGGCGGTGTTCATTTTCTAATTGGGAAAGCCTTGTCGCATAAGCCAGTTCGAGCTCAGGTATCAGATTGGCTTTAAATTTCCTTTCATCAATGCTGCGGATTTTGGCGGCTTCTTGTTCCTTGTCAGCAAAAATTTTGTCTTGAAGATTCAGTTGCCGTAATGTACTCACTTCAGCTTGAGTTACTTCCGCCAGATCAGACTCTAAAACTTCACAAGCTTCTCTAGCTTCAGCAAGTCTCTTTTCTAATTCGGCTACCACTGCCCGACGCGATTCCAAGTTACGATATAGATCTGCCTTGATTTGTGTCTTCTTGGAGGCGCTTACCCGAAGTTGATTAATACGAGTCTTCAGTATTTGAAGTTCGGATTCAACAGATTTCTGAGAATCACGCCATGCTTGTAGCCTCAGGTCCATTTCGGAAGTGATGTAAGAAGACGCGCCATTAGCTCGGAAATTCTGCAACTGCTTGATGTGTTGTTTAAGATCAACCAAATAAGCTTCAAGAGAGTTAGACAATTCGGCGCACCCCTGTTCTTTAATTCCTGACACATGATGATCGAGAGACTTCTGGAAAAGTTCAAATGGTGAACCTTTAAGGAGAATCCGATCAACCATGGCGTTTAAGAAAAGAATGAAGCTTTGGATGTCAATGCAAAGGGCAATTTTGTCCGGATCTTCATCTGCCAATAAAGCTCGAATGCAATCGGACAATGATGAAGAAAGATCTGCAAGGAGAAATAGATATAAAATATACACGTTCGCATACGGTAATGAGTAGAATTATCCCAAATTCAAAGTGTGATTACCTTGACTTGTCGAGGCTGAGACCTGCTCCACGACATCCGAAGTTTGTGTAGAGGTAATGCTGGGCGGTGGATTCATTACATCAAGCTGTTGTTCAATTACAATTTTTGACGACTTTGGGTCTAAGTCGCCAAGATCTTGAGGAGCAAGTTCTGTCAATGAGAAAAGAATGAATAAACACTCCGCAAGTATTAATCTAACTGTGAAGCACAATTAGATAAGACGTACCAAGTTGAGCTGAAGTAGCAGGAGGTTGCTCTTCTACCGTAACCTTCGACCCTCCTACTTCATGAACCACTGGAGTCGTAGTGAAAGGCACAACAGGTCCAGCTTCGATAATAGCAGAAGTTGGAGGAGCAGTGACCGGTGATTCAACTTCAGCAGGGGTACTTGCTAAGAGTAGGAAACCCAAATGACGGTAGACGCATCAACTTCGTTAGTTGGTCCTACGTCTAAAATTCTTATTTCAGTCCTTCAAGAACAATAACAGATGAAAGTACAGTTGAAAACTGGAGTCTAAAAGGGTATACCTTTTGATGCATCTACTTCAGCTGAATCGACTCGAGTAGTTGGTCCTGCAGTAGCGGATGGAACCGGAGTTGATAGTATATCGGAGATCTCCTGGTGTACATCTTCAGAAATGTCAAGATCGAAGTCTCGCTCATCGAAATCTCCGATACCCATATCATGGATAGGTTCTATGTCTTTCGGTTCGTTGACAGGGATGTCTATCAAGCAGAAGAAGAAGAATCCGTCAATGTGTATGCAAGAAATATGAAAGAATCAAAGCAAACAAAATAAGGTTACCTTCAATAACAATTGCGGGGTCAGCAGCGCTACTATCCGCACTCACCTCCTTTAGTTTAACTAAAAGAAGATAAAGCGCACAAGTTAGTAGGAGAGAAACACGTTCTGATTCACTTATCTCTCGGAAATGCCCCCCAAAGGAGAAAACATCTGTACCTGTGTCAGCGGTTGGCAAGGTCGATGTGGTAGCTGGAGGAGAGGCAATGTCCATGTCAAGTGGTTCTTCATTCATAGCCCTACAGAGGAATGGACTCTGGTCAAAAGAGCCCGTTCTACCCTGAAGGAGCGTATACAAAGGCGTCAAGCAAAAGCTGCTCACGCTCGTGCCCTTCGTCAACAAGTGCAGGAAAACAAAAAGGAAGTGGTAGATGGAAAACCACAAAAGAACTGTAGAGTTTGGGTTCCCAAAAACGAGAACACCCAAAGAATACAGAGGAAGTCAGTCTTCAACCGCGGCAGCACAGACTGTCGCGGCTCATCATATAACCGCGGCAGCACGTACTGCCGCGGCTCATCATATAACCGCGGCAGCCCATACTGCCGCGGCCCATCAAACAACCGCGACAGTTATGGCTGCCGCGGCAAAGAGAAGGTCAATGAAGACCCCATTTCAACTCCTTCAGCATCCGTCCCAAGCCCGTCTGCTGCGTCACCAGTGAAGATTCAGGACAAGCCGGACATATTGAAAGTCAAACTCACAGAATTAGATCTCCTTAGTTTGGCATTTGATAATCAGGGCAAAGCCCCAACCAAAGAGCAGTCAAACCCAGCAAGTAAACCCTTAGTGGTTTCTTATACAGGGGGTCGTAAACATCCTCCTGTCAGAACTGCACAAGTCCAGAACGAGAGAATACCAGTTCATTCTCGTCTAGGACCGATGATGACACCATTCCCGCAAGGGGGTGGATTTAAAAATCCAACCTTGGATCGCTCAGAAGCGACAACAAGTCGTCCTGCGCACGTTAACAAGGTTCAGAAGAAAGAGATAGGTTGCTCAAATCGTAACAACGATGAGCTGTACTATCAGAAAAATAACTCAAGAAAAAGAGTTGTACAAGAAAACGAGTCTCACTGCTCCTGTGAGAGACTCATCAAGGCAGTGCTGACAGAATGCGGATGCTCTAAAGCGAATTCAACAAGAGTCTCCGTATTTCAAAGACTTTCAAGTGAAACGTCAAGACCCAAGATGAGACGTTTCAACAAGAAGAAACCGGCAGTCCGACAAGATGAGTTCCCTGAGGTCACTATTAATATGACCAACAAAGGGAAGCAAAAGTCAGTCAATCCCGACCCTGATTTCTCTCCAGGGGGGAGAGTTGAGCGGGGTCTTTCTCAAAGGATGGCGCGGTTACAAAGAAGAGCCAACCTACGACGAGACTACAGGAAAATGCACGAGGGGCTATCTTCAGATGAAGAAATGTCAGATACTTGTTCAGCCATTGCATCGGACGATACCGCATCCAGTGTTGGACAAGCCAGAGAATCATTTGCAATTACGCCAGACCAATTGGCTCACATGCTGCAAGAAGCATTGGCTAAACAACGCGAAGAAATCAGAGCTGAGTTCAAGACTGAGATGGAGTTGACTATGCAGCAAATGCGGGATTTGCAGGTTCAGCAACACCAACCGGAATCAAGCCAAAGAGCGGAATCCAGTCGGCGTAATGAAGAGGATGAGACGATATTTGAAGATCATCCTCTAGATAAAGACAACTCCGGAAGCGATCCGACCAAGTCAGCCACTCAACCTCCACAGATCTATTTGAAGAAAAGCGAGGAAGAGGACAAGAAGATGCACGATCTTGAGAGCAAAGTCAACGCTTTGATGACGGCTCAAGAAGTGAAGAAAACGGGCATTCCATACCCGTACCCGAGGGAGTGGGACCTGATTCCTTATCCCCAGAAATTTAATTTGATTAACTTTACTCCTTTTGATGGCAGGGGTTCACCAACTCAGCACTTGATTTATTTTAAGTCGCATCTCGGCGCAATATCCGGGAACGAAGCCCTGATGGTTCGGTCATTCGTGGGGACCCTTCGCGGGCCTGCCTTCGATTGGTACCGACGTCTTAAGCCCGGGAGTATCACTAGCTGGGAGGATATGGAAGAACTATTCCTCACCAACTTCTTCGACGACGACACAGAAGTCTCGATCGGCACGTTGTTGGACGAAAAGCAGAAGGACGGGGAATCTGTTGATGTCTTTGTCAAGCGATTCCGGGACAAAGCAGTGAACTGCAGAGATCCACTTACTGAGGAATTTATTCTACAAACATGTCATAATAACCTGTCCTTGGATGTATTAGAAGTGGTAGGGGTTGTTCACTCTAAGACTTGGAAAGAATTGAAAATGAGGGGTGAACAGGCTGAGCGCTTTCTCAAGAGAAAGAATTTGGAGAGAGGTTTGCCACCAGCCAATAATCAGAATCAGAAGCAGAACTTTAATCCTCGAGGCAGAGGAAGAGGGTCGGTGGCCGCTGTCGATGCACATCAAACGTCACAACAGCCACCGCAGCAACAACCGCAACAATCATCCTTCCAGTTGGCGCCAAGCCAGAATCAACAGCCTCAGAAACAGTTTAAGAATTCTGAGCCCAGATTCCCGAAGGAATACTCTTTCAAAGATGATGAAGTTCCGGTCATCTTCAAATACTTGTTAGAGAACAACAAGATCAAGCTTCCACCGGTCACAAACCAAGAAGAAGCAACGAAGATCAATGACCCAAAATATTGTGCATACCACAGAAGGGTCCACCATCCTACTAAGACATGTTATGTCTTAAAGGATAAAATACAAACATTAATTGATGTTGGTATTGTGACGCCGAAGCCAAAGGAGAAGAAGGTAGGCGCAAACGCGGTCTCTATTAGCTTCGGATCGGTTCCTTTGTCCTGGTTTCAAGCCGAGCCAGTATCAAAGGTCAAGATGCAAACCATCAACGATGACCCTCATGGACAGCGCCAGAAGGGGCTCGTATCTCACACAGCCCCCAACGGCGAAATCCTTTGGGTTCATCCGGATTTGCTTGAAGATGAACAGTGGACGACATCCAAATCAAAGAAGAAGTCAAAAAACAAGGGAAAAGAGAAGTCCTGTTATGGAGTCTCAGCAATCCCCGAGAAGAATGATGAACGGATAGCAGCTTTATCCCTTTCTGATGAGGAGCAGGAAGTTTTCGCTACACGAAGTGGAAATGAATACCATTACAAATATCCGGAAACTTCTAACCCAAACGCTACAACTTTGAAAGAGTTGGGGATAGCTACAACTCCTCCAGTACCTGCTGAAAAGCCGCAACAACCGGCTAAGCAAAAGGAGAAGGAACCTCAACCCAAAGAGGTTCAAATTCCGAAGCAGTCTCGTTTTAGTCGACCGATTGGACGAGACAAACCGGAAAGCTCGAACGCACCATATCGTTTCGACGTTATGGCTCAGCTGGCTAATATCCCAGCAAGAATCACATTGTACGAGTTGCTGCGCCTCTCGAAGGAAACCAGGGAAGCTTTACAAGAAGCTTTGGCTGATTCTGAGGTATTCCTCACTCAGATCAAGCCAACTCCCGAAAAGCCAGAGTCATCAGTACAGCATTGCAATCTGGCAGCCACAAAATTCCCTTGCATCGCTTTCACAAAAGAAGATATGCAAGTTAGGAATTCGAAGCATGATAGGCCTCTATATTTCACCGGATATATTGGCTCGAGCATGGTCAACCGGATCCAAGTCGATCCGGGTTCCGCTGTTAGCATCATGCCACTTCGATTGATGTACCACCTCGGAATTCCCGCTAACAAGTTAGCCTCTACAGGAACGGTTATCTATGGTTTCAACACAAGCGGGTCACGACCGTTGGGAAAAATCCGGGTGAAGTGTCAACTCGGAGATCTGAAGTCTGAAGTCACCTGCTATGTGATCGATGCGGAGACTTCCTATAACTTACTGTTGGGTCGTCCATGGATCCACGGTAATCTTATAGTTCCCTCCACCCTCCATCAGTGTTTGAAGTATGTCGACACTAATGAGGAGGTCAAGACGGTGGTCGCGGATAAGCAACCATTCAAGGGGTTAGAAAATTACTTTACTGACTCCCTTCTTTATGGTGCCGAATCCGAAACTGAACCATCGGCCCATGGCACGGACAGCGGAGAAGAAGCTGATACCGAAGCCGGGTTCGATTATAGTGAAGGTCTTGTACTAAATGACATTGAACCTCTTGTAATCGATCTTGACGGTGATGAATCGTCGGACGAAAGTTGTAACTGGCAGCTTGCCGATGAAATAATAAAGGGTGATTTAGAGTATTTGCCTTGTCTTGATAATGTAATGCAGGAACTGTATAACAACCCTAATCTACATATGCCGCTTCGTTCGTCTTGTACGACGACGAAACGCCTCCAAGATTCATGCGGAACAACTGTAATCTTACCCGCAAAAGTATGGGGTGAAAAAGAGATAATCTTTGGAAAAGGGGAACTATCCCCTACTCCAGATCATTTCTTAGACAGTAATTCGGATGAAGAAAAACCCGGGCGACACTTCTCCCGGTATAGTTCTCAAGCGAATGACTATATGGCGAGTCAAGGCTATGACCTTTCACTTGGTGAAGGCCTCTATTTTGGTCAAGGTGTTAGGGTTCCACCCCGTCCTGCCTATGTACCAAAAGGAAAACCAGATAATTATTACAGTCGTAATAGGGGTCTGGGTTATGCCTCATCATCCGATGACGATTATGGCCAACGGATAATTAACCAATTAATAGACAGGAGTGGGCATTCATCTGACACTTCAAATTGGGATTCTGATGTAAGCATTGGAGAAAAATTCAAAAGTCTCATGTCAAACATGGCAACAGTCGATCCTTCTACAACAGAAGAAGACGATCAGTTGCCCACTTGGGAAGATCCTTGGACACATTACATGAATGTCCAATACGGGGATCGATTCGAGCAAAGAGAACCTCCTACTGAAGATAAGGTAGAGCAAGTTAATATGGGTGACGAAAATAATCCAAAACCTATATTTATCAGTGGGGATCTTCCACCAGACGAGAAAGATGAACTAATCGCCCTCATCCGAGAGTATATCGACGTGTTCGCTTGGAATTACGAAGATATGCCTGGACTCGACCCAAACGTAGCAATGCACACCCTTAATATAAAATCGGATGCTAAACCTGTCAAACAACAACAAAGACGGTTTCGGCCGCAAATTATGGAGGCAATAGAAGTTGAGGTCAAGAAGCTAATTGATTCAGGTTTTGTCAGAGAAGAACAACATCCCGAATGGTTGGCCAATATAGTCCCAGTTCTTAAAAAGAATGGAAAGATCAGAATCTGTATTGACTTCAGAGATCTGAATACCGCCTGTCCTAAAGACGATTTTCCCCTACCAATTACGGATGTCATTATCGACAACACATGCGGGTTTGAGAGAATGTCGTTCATGGACGGATTTTCTGGGTATAATCAGATAAAGATGCATCCAGATGATGAAAAACATACAGCATTCAGAACACCCCTGGGTGTTTTCTGCTACACTGTTATGCCATTCGGCTTGAAGAATGCCGGCGCTACGTACCAACGAGCGATGACGAAAATCTTTCAAGAGCACCTCCGGAAAACTGTCGAATGCTACGTTGATGACCTGGTCGTTAAGAGTCGCGATAAAAATGACCACATTAACGATCTGAAGACGATGTTCGAGCTTATGAGAACTCATCAGCTGAAAATGAATCCGACTAAATCCTTCCTTGGAATGTCGAGCGGTAAATTTCTTGGGTTCGTCGTCACTACAAAGGGTATTCATATTGATCCTGATAAGGTGAAAGCGATACATGAGCTACAACCACCGAAGAATCTTAAAGAACTCAGGGGGTTGCAAGGCCGATTGGCATATATCCGTCGGTTTATATCAAATCTTTCCGGAAAATGTCAACCATTCTCTAAACTTGCGAAGAAAGGCGTGTCATTCGTTTGGGATGAAGCATGCCAAAGGGCATTCGAAGATATTAAGAAATATCTAGCGAATCCTCCTATTCTCGTTGCACCGAAATCGGGCAGACCGTTTTTGATTTATGTCAAAGCGACGAGCCATTCGTTAAGTGCATTACTTGCACAAGACGACGATAACGGTCACGAACAAGCTGTGTATTATCTGAGTCGTACATTGGTAGGAGCTGAGTCTCGTTATCCGATAATTGAGAAGGAATGCCTCGCTTTGGTATTCGCGATTCAGAAAATGCGACATTATTTAGTCGGACAGACGATTTATGTCATTTCCAACATAAATCCCGTACGAGTATTCATGACCCAACCGGCTTCCATGAATTGGCGGTTGGCTAGATGGGCCTTACTCCTATCGCAATATGACTTGTACTTCAAGCAACAGAAATCTGTTAAAGGACGAGCTATTTGCGATTTTTTGGCGGAAAACCCTACGAAGGATGTAGTCGAATTGTACGACGATCTGCCAGATGAAACTCACGAAGTTAATACCACCTCGCATCAACAAGTGTGGCAATTGTACTTCGATGGGGCTTCTCGATCAACCAACGTGGCAAGTGCACCCGGATGTTCTAAAATTTCCTCAGGTGTGGGGGTCGTTTTAGTTTCCCCGGAAAAGCACATCTTGCCTAGAGCATATTCACTAACTGAGCCATGCTCTAATAACGTGGCTGAATACAATGCATTAATAATCGGACTTAATTTCGCCAAAGAACTGGGGGTCGAATACCTCGAGGCTTTTGGAGATTCTCAACTGGTAGTTAATCAAATACGAGGGGAGTATGAAGTCAGAAATCGAGACCTGATTCCATACCACCAGGTGGCCATCGAGATGGCAAGCTCGTTTGAAGAATTTTTTATCGAGTACGTTCCGCGTCTCCAAAATGCATATGCAGACGCATTGGCAGCATTGTCAGTATCCTTGGCTCAACCTCCCAAAACAGAGCAATTGATTACAGTGAGGACTCACCAGCTTATTGTCCCAATCTACGATTCGAATGCCAAAGAGGTTTACTCAATAGGAGTTGAACCTGAAGTTCGAGATTGGCGTTTTCCTATTATCGACTATGTCTTACATGGTATATTACCTGAAGATGTAAGAGAAAGGGAATCGATTCGACGAAGAGCACCGAGATTTTATTACAATGCCGCAGCGCAAATGTTGTATCGACGATCGTATGATGGTCTTTTACTCCGTTGTCTATCCGGAAAAGAAGCGGAACAAGCACTCAAAGAAGCGCATGATGGAATATGCGGTGCACATCAGCCCGGTCCTAAGCTCTGTGATCGACTTAGGAGAATCGGGTATTACTGGCCAACTATGGTAAAAGACGCAGTCGACTACGCACGAAAATGTGAAGCGTGTCAATTACATGCGAATTATATGCACATACCCCCTGAGTATCTACATCCTTCGGCGACATCATGGCCGTTTGAGACATGGGGAATGGACATTGTAGGTCCTATTTTTCCGCCTTCGGTTAAAGGGGACCGTTTTATTTTAGCAATCACCGATTATTTCTCGAAATGGGCAGAAGCAGTTCCACTTAGAGAAGTAAAGACGACTAATGTCATCAAATTTATCAAACACCATATCATATATCGATACGGTGTGCCAAGGCGAATAGTACACGACAACGGTCCTCAGTTCGTGAGCAACGCATTCATCAAGTTCTGCGGTAAATTCGGGATTAAGGACGTTTCGTCAACCGCTTATAATCCTACAGCTAACGGACTGGCCGAAGCTTTTAACAAGACTATCATCAAAATTCTGGCGAAATTGGTGAAAACCAATAAACGAGATTGGGACGACAAACTCGGCGAAGCTCTCTGGGCTTATCGTACGACCGTCCGCACGCCTACAGGAGCCACCCCGTATGCTTTAACGTATGGGTGTGAAGCCGTTCTTCCATTGGAAGTGCAGATTCCTTCTCTCCGTATCGCTCTCGTAACGGGAATGACGACGGAAGAACATCATCAGAAACGTCTCGAGGAATTAGAGATATTAGATGAGAAACGCTTGGAAGCTCAACAACAGATCGAGTTTTATCAAGCTAGAATTTCTCGGGCTTTCGATAAAAAAGTCCGACGACGAAGCTTTAAAGAAGGAGATTTAGTTCTCGCTGTTCGAAGACCTATGATTCTCACTTCTAAGAAGAAAGGCAAATTTGAACCTAAATGGGAAGGACCGTTTGTAGTAGAAACAGTCTACTCGAACGGTGCCTATCGCCTGGTTACTCAGGATGGCAACAAATTGATGATGCCAATCAATGGAAAGTTCCTGAAAAAGTATTATCCGTAATGCTTTCAGGATAACTTACGTAAAACGGGAAGTTTCTAGAAAATCCTATATGGGATATTTCAGGATAACCCGATATCAGTTGATTATTTTAAATGAGAACTGATTATGCGAATGATACGTTCTTAATTGTTATGAAAATAATTAGGAACCTTTTACTACTTTTGTTGAGATGAGATTTAATGACAAGTTAATCTTTCCTCACAAAACCCTGTAATGTGATCATGGAAGATGAGATTCAATAATTTATAATTTCACGCTATGAAACCTCCACCGGTCGGATTGAGCAATCATCGTCAGTCGGTGTCAGTTGACAAATTATTTCATGTTAAATGTTTGAAATCAAAATTTCCCATCGAGTAGTTCGTGCAAATCAACGAACTCATTGTTATTTGTACCCTATTCCAATTTCTCACCTGGTCAAACCTTTAAATAGTTAAGACCAAAACCAAAATCCCCTCTCGATTCCTTCCATGAACGAGAGATCCTCAAAACTCCCACTTGGTCAAACCTTACTACAGTTAGGACCACAACCAAAATCTCCTTTCGATTCATTTTGCGAACGAAAGATCCACTTTCGAATTGAGTAATCAAACCTTACGACAGTTAGGATTATTCAGGTCAATCCAGATTCTCTAAGTGAAGATCCCACTTCGAGTTTCTTTTGCTCCAGGAGATAGAATATAAAATTCTTCCTCTCCAATTCTGGGTTTATCTCTACCAACAAACAAGAGACCAGGAGATAGAATATAAAATTCTTCCTCTCCAATTCCGGGTTTATCTCTACCAACAAACAAGAGACCAGGAGATAGAATATAAAATTCTTCCTCTCCAATTCTGGGTTTATCTCTACCAACAAACAAGAGACCGGGAGATAGAATATAAAATTCTTCCTCTCTGATTTCGGGTTCGTTGTCCTATATAGGAAGCGCAACCTATTCACACTTTAAAATCCATATCACATGGGGGATGTTATCTCTATCCCTTATTAGAGATAAGCCTACATCTAACACATGTAGCCTACATATTCAATATGATAGTTCAAAGCCTAAAAGAGTTTAATTCTTTTAGCGCAACGTTATATGTGAAACGGACTTAGATAATTCACATACTAGCCCGACTCAAACGGTAGTTGGTAAAGGCATATCAAATCCGTTGATGGCTGAGGATTTGCCAAAAATCCTATAAGTATTATGACTATTTATTCTAAACAAGAATGAGTAATCATAATAAAATCTCAATAAAAAAGAAAAGTTCATTGTATTAACCAAAAGAGTTCAAGCAAAGCAGCACAAAAGAAAAGATGCATGTTTTCAAAATTACAATAATTTGTAATGACGGAATTCATCTTCTAATTTAGAAAGCTTTGTCGCGTAAGCCAATTCGAGCTCAGGTATCAGTTTGGCTTTAAATTTTCTTTCATCGATACTTTGAATTCTGGCAACCTCTTGTTCTTTGTCATCAAAAGTCTTGTTCTGGAAATTAAGTTGCCGGAGTATATCCACCTCAGCTTGAGTTACTTCTGCTAGATCAGACTCCAAAAATTCGCAAGCATCCTTAGCTTCGGCAAGTCGTTTCTCTAACTGGGCTACCTCTGTCCGACGTGATTCCAAATCACGATACAGGTCTACCTTGATTTGAGCTTTCTTGGCAGCACTCACCCGGAGTTGATCAATGCGAGTCTTCAGTGTTTGAAGTTCGGATTCAGCGGATTTCTGAGAATCACGCCATGCTTGTAGCCTCAGGTCCATTTCGGAAGCGATGTAAGAAGGTGCGCCATCAACTCGAAAGTTCTGTAACTGTTCAATGTGTTGTTTAAGATCGACCAAATAAGCTTCTATGGAGTTAGATAATTCGGTGCACCCCTGTTCTTTAATTCCTGATACATGGCGATCGAGAGACTTCCTGAAAAGTTCAAATGGTGAACCTTTAAGAAGAATCCGATCGACCATGGCGTTTAAGAAATGAACGAAGCTTTGGACGTCAACACAGAGGGCAGCTTTGTCCGGATCTTCATCTGCCAATAAAACTTGAATCCGCTCGGACAATGAAGAAGAAATAGCTGCAAAGAGAACAAATAAGTTAAGTACAAGAATATGTACGCTCGCTGGAAGAATTCACGACCGAGTTACCTTGGCTTGTTGAGGTCAGAGCAGATTCTATAACAACAGGGATCTGTTCAGGAATAACGATCGTCGGTTGAGTTACTATAGGAGACGGTTGTTCACCTGAAACACCTGATGGCTTCGGATCCAAAGCGACAAAATCTTGAGGAACAAGTTCTGTCAACGAGAAAAGGATGAATGATCACTCCGCAAGTATTAATCCAACTTCAAAGCACGATTAGACAAAACGTACCAAGCTGAGTCGAAGCGGCAGGGGGTTGTTCTCCCGCTGTATCCTTTGACCCTCCTACTTCATGATCCACTAGAGTCGGAGCAGAAAGCACAACAGGTTCAGCTTCGACAATAGCGGAAGTCGGGGGAGCAGTGACTGGTGGTTCAACTTCAGCTGGGGGACTTGCCAAGAGTAAGAAACCCAGACCTTCAGGTTGATCACATTCACCGATGACGGTAGACGCATCAACTTCGTTAGTTGGTCCTACGTCTAAAATTCTTATTTCAGTCCTTCAAGAACAATAACAGATGAAAGTACAGTTGAAAACTGGAGTCTAAAAGGGTATACCTTTTGATGCATCTGCTTCAGCTGAATCAACTCGAGTAGTTGGTCCTGCAGTAGCGGATGGAACCGGATTTGATAGTATATCGGAGATCTCCTGGTGTACATCTTCAGAAATGTCAAGATCGAAGTCTCGCTCATCGAAATCTCCGATACCCATATCATGGGTAAGTTCGATATCTCCCGGTTCGTCGACTGTGATGTCTGTTAAACAGAAGAACTCGTCAACACATATACAAGAACTATCAAAGAATCAAAACAAATAAAGTGAGATTACCTTCAACAATAGTTGCGGGATTAGCAGCGCTACTACCCGCACTCACCTCCTTTAGTTTAACTAAAAGAAGATAAAGCGCACAAGTTAGTAGGAGAGGAACACGTTCTGATTCACTTATCTTCCGAAAATGTCCCCCAAAGGAGAAAACATCAGTACCTGTATCTGCGGTTGGCGAGGTCGATGTGGTGGCTGGAGGAGGAACAATGTCCATATGAAGGGGTTCCTCGTTCATAGCCTTGTGCACTTGTTCAGTGAAGCTAGATTCATCAACATCCATTAAACCCGGAGAAGAAGGCTTGGGCACGATTTCCCCTTCCTCTTCTGATTCAACTGCAATGATAAAAGAATAAATGCGACGCCTTATTCAAAAAAGAAATAAGATAACAGAAAGGAGATGAAGATGAAACTTTACCCCTTTCATCAACTGGAAGATCCTGAGTAAACTTCTCCTCAAATAACGGAGAAAGTTGGCGTTCCCGATGAGCCGTCTTTTTAATCCTCTTCGAGGCACGAGAATCTCGAGGAACCTCGGAGCTTTCATGTCGAAACTTGGTACGTAATTCGGTTCCTTGAGTCGGCTGAGGTTGAACCTCAGAAGGAGCAGTAAGCCGAGATCTTTTCCTGTTAATAAGCGGGGCAACCTCTTCTTCCTCTTCTTCTGCCTCTCCCTCCTGAGAAAGCCATCTCAAGGTCATCTTGTTGGAGGACGACAGGGGAATGTTCTTTTCCTTCATTTGTATACCTTTTGAAGGAGCACCGGGTAATTTGGGCGAAGAAGCTCGACGAGTCCTGTGAGCCACGGGAGACAAAGGTACATCACCCTCTGCGTCGCCTCGGGTCTCATCCTCTTCGCTGGATGTCTCGAAGTCGTCGCTCTCTTCGGAATCAGCTACCTGTTTTCCTTTACGAGAAGACGTAGCGGGCTCCTTTCCTTTTTTTGATACAATTCTCCGAACTACAGCCTCGGATTCCAGTTCGTGGAGCTTCTTCTTCGCAAGAGGAGTATTGGCGGCTAAAATCCACCGGCAGTAGAGGAAGGTTAAGTAAAGACCAGGCTCAGCGACAGGCAAACTAAATCGAGCTCCGGTACAGCCAGCAACATTCCAGAACCAGGCACGTACCCCATCAATAAGGCCTCCGCAGTTTATCAACCATTTATTGGGATTCCCGATATACAATTGATCGTAGCCGAATTGTCGCGCAAAACGGCAAGGAAAATAAGGCTCAATCCTGCAAATGTTCTTCGATCGAAAAACATTATAGCCTGGGCGAATGTTCATGAGCCAATGAAAACTACCCGTATCGAGAGAGGTCCTGTTAGCCCCAGGCATTTCCTCGTCAACAAGCGTGTCATTATAGGCACCAGAAAACCGAGGGAAACACTTATAGAATTCCCAGCATTTGGCATTCTTGAATTGCCTCACACGGTCAGTCCATGGTCGGGAAGGATATAACCACTTACATCCTTCTAAGAGCTGCAGCAAGGGGATTTCTGGATCAGACGCATCAGGCGCTGACATCATGTCCGATCGATGGAGAACTAGCCACGCCATCAAATAGGTGTACGGAAATTCGACGCTCGACAAAGGAATCTTAGTTGAAGGCTCGGCACCCACTTTGGTAAAGGTGTTGGCTAGGTTACGCAAACCGCTATGGAGGTCAGCAATCATAGCAGAAAGAAGAGATAACCTGCCTCTGACAACTAGTTGCACGGCGGGAAAGAGAACTTCAAGAGGAAGCGCCTCAGAAGACTGATGCGGCACTACACATCTCTTTAGCCAAATGGCCAGATAACCGGAAAGAAGAGTTGCAGGCTTCATTCTCTTTGTGGCTTGCCACAAGAAAGTGTTGAACTTGGTGCCCTTAAGAAAACCACCTTCAGATGACTCAGTTCTGTAAGACTGAGCATTAATCTTCGTGATTAGCTGGTTGACGTCAGAAGGGGTCAGAATCGGTGATTCACAGACTTCTTCACCGGTCGGGCTCTCAAGGTTCTGAAATAGGTAGTCGGCGAACTGTTTTAAACTGACTCGAGCCGCCTTCTTACTCTTCACTTCAATCTTGGCTATCGCTATCTGATAATGACAAGTTAACTCCCAGAGGATGTCATAAGCAGGAGAGCAGGCCTTCTTCATTTTCATCAACTGACGATTATTAGGAAAATATTCTTGGTAAGGAGTATTCCCCAATGGCAATCCGGATACCTTCATCATTTCGTGGAGCGGAAGCCCTAATTCCCCATACTTGGTAAGAAAGGTATTGGTCTCCGGAATATAAGACTCGAACAAAGCCATAAAATGATCTGCACTCACTGGGAGACCATGCATACTAGCTCGGATTGGAGCATATAATCCCAAATCCCGCAACTCCTGATCCCAACGATGGAGTACGTATTTGGTCATCCTAGCCCACCATTTGTCAGGAAGAGAGTGAACCCATCCATAACACCTGAATCTTGGAATGGGAAGTTCTCGACCAACCCGAGCGAGCTTATTCTTTACGGTATTGGCCCTTATCATCAGTTCGTTTTGGGGCCCACCATCTGGTCCAAATATACCAGGGTGAAGACCACGAACATCAGGCCTACCGACGGAGCCAGGAGCGCTAATATCTTTACCAATATAGCCGCAATGAACGTGCTCATGGTCTTCTGTCAAGTGCCACGTCATTTCCCTCGAAACAGCCAAATTCCTCAATTGCAGAAGGGAGTACTGTCGAGGGAATGGAGGAAGGAATAAAAAAGAACCTTCATGTTCATTCAACCAGATTTCAGAGCCAAGGCAAAGTTTGTCTGGATCTTCTACCGAATCTCCGAACAGATAATCAGTCTTCTTCAACGGTTCAGTAGAATCTCGAGTTGGAGTTAGGGGTGAATCAGTCAATAGAGCGCGCAGGGTACGACGACCTCCCTCACGAACCAACTCTGGAATACTATTATCACGACCCTCACTAAACTGGCGGGCTTCTCTAACCAAGAAGTCGCCGTTGAAAGAGGCATGAAGAGTACCACTTTGACCTGGGTCTTCTCTATCAGAGAAGGCCACAGAAGGAAAGGGGACTGCAAAGAAAGGTTGGAAAACAGTTGGACCAAAAAGGCTAACAGACGAGAAAACCTTCACTAAGTAGCCGCGGCAGTTGTTGCTGTCGCGCGTTACCGCGGCAGTATACACTGTCGCGCTCAGGCGCGACAGCACGAGCTGCCGCGGTAACTGAACAACGATCCTCAATGTTGAAAAGCCTCTAATTCGATGAAAACTCGAATTTTGGCTATGGTACACATCTTGATTGAACAAGATACATATTTGTAAGCGTCAATCCTCTCGATGGAGGATGTCAACTCTTCCCGAATGCCTCTCAAAGGAGGTAAACGAGGTTATAAAGGAGGCAAGCGAGGTTATACGAGCAAAAAAACATCAATTTTGGATAGAAAAGAAGTTGAAAGCTCACCTCCGAACGATGCAGCGGCAGCCTCAACCTCATCAGACGCCTGTGCTGCAGATTTCCCTTTGGGAACCCTGGATTTCTTGGGAGACATGGTGAAATCAACCTAAGAACAAGGAAAATTAGGGTTTAGAGATGAGATCTCGAATTAAATAGCAAAGCAAACATAAAATACAAGAGATGGGCTCGGTTTTACCAGAGGATAGAAGGAATCGAACTCGAAAGATGAGGAAATTGAAGAAAAGGCTCAGAACCCTAGATCTCAAAACCCTAGATCTTGTTCGAGCAAGAAATAACCCAAATATGAAGAGGTGGAGAGGGGAAAAGCCAGAAGATCCTTTTATAGGGTGTTTGAAGAGGTTTCGAACTCAAAAGAGCGGGGAAAAGTGACCCGAAGAAGCCCAACATCAAGTTTATAACTTGACTGGCCGAAGCGTTGCGCGGCACTTGACACTGTCGCGCTCGAGCGCGACAGTCTATGTTGCCGCGCTTGAGCGCGACAGTCTATGTCTACGTGCTCAAGCGCGACAGTAGAAGCTGTCGCGGCAGTTCATTCTGACACGCCGAGGCACTGCGCATACACAATAATCCCTTGGGTGTTTGAACACGTACATCTCCCTCTGTATTTGGAATATATCTCCGGACACTCCGATGAGTATATGAGTATAAACTGCATCTCCTTGAACCTCCCAACGGGTATATGAGGTTAAACTGTTTCCCGAACACTCCAATAGAGCATATGAGTATAAACTATTTCTCCATTTTTCAACAACAGTTCTGATTCAAGACTTCGACAACGGCCACGCGATAAACGCAGTACCGGAGGAATTTTAGCTATTCTACAAAGCACTGAGTAGACTAAAAGATAAAGAAGTCAAGGATTGAAGCCGTTCACAAATTATTTTACGCAACTTCTTCAACAAAGCACTGGAGAAATTACAAGGAAAGCTTATCATATCCAAAGTGTCCCAGACTCCTCTCTAAAAAAAATGATGATGAGTCTGAGATACTTTGGAGGGGGTATCTGTAAGCGTCGAAAAATGCTTGCAGGCATCCAAATACCACTCAAAACAATATGGGAAAACAATTTACACGTCATCAGGCAACACAAGGTGACGCGGCAGCCCATGGCGTCGCGGCTAAGGCGCGACACCACATAGTGCCGCGGTTAAGGCGCGACAGCACATAGTGCCGCGGCTAAGGCGCGGCAGCTTGTTGTGTCGCGGCTTAGGCGCTGCTAGTGCACTGATACCCCTATAAATACCTCCCTAAGCACGAAATAAAGGACAGAGAGCATTTTGGAGCAGAAGAGGCTTGAGCTTTCAGTGATTTTGAAGAAGAGAGAGAACTTTCACCCTTTGACAAGCATCATTCGGTGATTCCTAGAGATCTAAGCTCAGACTTGATCTTTGGAAGAACGGACATCTTACATCGATAAGATATTCGTTTTCAAATCTTTACTTCGATAAACGAAGGAGAGATCCCTAAGCACCTTCACGATCTTTGAATCGGTGGTCAACGAGCCAAAGCACTCACGGCACAGGCAAAGTCCCACAAAAACAGTAGTTGATAAACGACTTCTGTGTTATTTTCTCGAAAGTTGTAATTTTGTTTATTTTTCATTGTAATATTCTGTAAGCAATCGAAGTTTAATGGAATCTGCAATGGAAACGACTTTCGCTGAAAACACAAATCACCATGCAAGAAGGTGGTTTTCACATCCATTTGCTCCAACTTCAAATCCTTCATTGCCACAAAAGAGAGCAAAACTCGAATGGAGGTATGTTTCACTACGGGAGAGAACACATCATTGAAATCCACACCTTGGACTTGACTATACCCTTTAGCCACAAGCCTTGCCTTGTATCGAAAATCCGCGGGATTTGAGTCATTAATCTTCCTCTTAAACACCCACTTACAACCCACAATTCTCTTACCACTAGGAGGCTTCACAAGAGACCAAGTCTCATTTTGTTGCAAGGATTGTAACTCTTCATTCATAGCGGCAACCCAATTGGCCGCATCCTTACAACAAATGGCTTCATTGTAGGAAGATGGCTCACAATACTCCACATCCTCTGCAATTGCCAAACAATAAGCAAAGTCGGAGTATCCATACCTTGTAGGTGGTCAAATTTCTCTTCTAGCTCAGTCCCTTGCTAATGCATATGGTTGTGCCTCTTCTTGGCCTTCCTCCAAATTGGCATCATCATGTGAGATCATATCTGTAGGCGTCAAAAAATGCTTATAGACATCCAAATACCGCTTAAGGCAAAGAAAAGGCGATAAACGTCATTCTCTTAATCAGGGGGAATCATTCAAAGGAAGTGAGACGACATGTACACACAACCAAACAGCGCTTGGTGTCGCGGCTCTGGCGCGGCAGATCATGGTGCCGCGGTCATGGCGCGGCAGCATATGGTGTCGCAGCTATGACGCGACAACCTATGGTGCCGCGGCTATGGTGCGGCAACCTATGGTGCCGCGGCTATTATAGGAGAGTGCTGTGGCGGTCACAAGACAGTTGTACGATGATTATTTGAAGCCCACGTGGCAGCATATCAAAGATAGAACGTGTGCTGACGTGGACAAGCTGTTAAACCACGAAAAAGGTGGTTAAAGGTCGTGGGAGGACGGTTTCAAGCACGATGGAACGTGCTGGTAATCA